GTAGACCTGTCTCTTATACACATCTAGATGTGTATAAGAGACAGATGTTTATGTATACATATATATATATGATGATAATAATAATAATAATAATAATAATAATAATAATAATAATAATAATAATGTTTGTCATCACTTCAAGATGTCTACCAATTCGTGGAAAAGGCCAGACGGATAATGACATCGGTTTTGGATTGTGATCGTTTGTCTTTGAAATAAGCATAATAATGCATGGAAAAACATTGTTATAAGCGAAAAACATTGTTATAAAGTTTTAATTCAATTCATATTTATTTATTGCATCAAGTAGACTCCAATGACGTATACCAAATAAGCTAATAATATACATACCATATAGTTTACAATTTTACGAATAAAGTATCTTTATGAATTACACAGTTAATTATTAGTTAGGGCAAAACCAAGGAAAACTGCCTTTTTGTTTGTCAAGGTTTTCTCAACGGTTTTATAACCATAACCCCATTCTATTTGAAATTAGCTTGGGGCCACCCAGAGAACTGACGAAATTCGGAGCGGTTGCATTTTTTAGGCACTGTCATCAGAGATCAAGGTAACGGTAGCCTACACTTTTTATGTATTCGACATCGAATCCAAGACCTTAGGTGATTTCCAAGATTTCTTTATACGAAGAGAGTAAAGCTAAACGACAGACAACAGTATTAATGAAACAATATAGTAAAAATAAGCGAATGTTAAAAAAAGTTAAATGTGTAAATTTCATTGGACAAGATCTGACAAGTGTCCAAAGCCAGCAGTGGATACAGGTGCTGGAGTGGACTTAAATAGAGATAATAAATAGAAGGGTTCACGGCAGAGCAATTTTCCCCGTCCGCCCAGCGGCGGTATATCAATAACAAAGGCACTGCTTAGGTTCGTTTGTTTCATGTAGTTTCTCCACTTAGTCTAATTTTACCTCGCTTGCGGGAGGGCGGGTGTTCTATCAATGCAAAAAAAAAAATAGCGCGTGTAGTAAACGCATGTTTTTGTTCTATATTACGCATAAACTATCAAGATGTATGAATATATCAATGATGATGCTGTAGAATTATTAACAAAAATATTATTCATTTTATAAAATTAATATAAAATAATATTTATTTAATAATAATAATAATAGTAATAATAATAATAATAATAGATTTATAATGCGCACATCTCCACCAAGGGTGCTCAACGCGCATTACTAAATTTCACTATAAAATAAAAAGATCAACAATAATTCCCAAACAATGCAGATTTACTGCTTAATGTTTGAATTGAGGTGAGCATTGGTACGCCTTGTACCCCTCGCCTCTTTTTTTCTCCACCAAACGTGTTCAACAAATTTATTTCATTTATAGAATAAATTCTACTTTTAAACATTTCAAAGTTTTATTTCACAAACGTATCCAGCTTCCATTCGAAGGCAGCTTGCGTCAAATTCTTTATCTTCCAGGTCCACAACAACACAACCGCCTCCTCCATTGTCAGTAATATCCTCTAAAGAATATTCATGAATATCGACCATACTTCCATTGTTGTAATAGTAGGTCGATCCGACATAGTTCCAATCCAAGTGGATATTAGTTATCCAAGAATTAAATTTATCTAGTATGGCCAAGTCTTTCGGAGATGTTACGGAGAAATATGATGCAACCTTTGTGCCAATAGTGTACTTCTCGCACATCGTACTGTCTTCAATTTCTGGTAAATCCACCTCGTATTTGTTTACCTTGATGCATCGGTTTCCAGGAATAGTGTACCAGGTAGATGGGCAACTACTGTCACACACCACAATCAGAAGCAGCAAAATCATGAATTTTACCTTTGAAGAACAAATTGATGACTCCAAATGAGGCTTGTATCATACTTAAACCAATTAAACATTATATACAAAAAAACAACAACAACAATAATAAACAATTTAACGTCAAAGAATAAGCAACAATCAGGAAGTATAAAAACAGAAATTATAGAGGTTAAGTTTTAAATTAAAGATATGAGTATGTTAAAAAAGAATAAAATGAATAGATTGCTTCACAGCATTCCCAGTGGCATAACGGGGGGGGGGGGGAGCAGGGGTAGACTGCCCCCACCCTGACGGTTTTTACCGGGCTGACCAAGCCGGTGTACCGGGCTGGGTAATAAGAGAAAAGAAAGAGGGGAGTGCGAGGGAAAGAGAAAGAAGGGGAAAAGAAAAGGAAAGAAAAAAGGAAATAAAAAAGAGAAGAGAAAAATAGAATAAAAAGGAAGATATCATAATCACCAGACAACGCCCTCCAACACCCTTCTTCACTTCAAAAAGTGTCCATAGTTCCTTTGATCTAAGTCGCCAGATATTCTCTGCAGTGGCGTAACCACCGGGGGACAATGGGAAAATATTCATCTGCGGAAAATCTTTTCACACCCCTTGAAGATGCCCTTTTCACCCCCTGAAAGTGCCTAAAAATGTCAAATTTCGCGCATTCCTTATTAGGGTAGGCCAATTTCCTCTAGAAATTGCACATTTTAGGGAGTTTTGATCAGTTCCACGAAATTAGAATTAGAAACACAATTAAACACATAGCAGTCTCAACCTCAAGAAAGAAAATTTAAGATAGTGATCGTTTTACCTAAAAGAAAGGCCTCAATGTGTAAAGATGGTGAAATAATATGTTTGTAATAGATAAAGCCATAATGAAAATGCTTATATTCAGTTTCAAAAAACTGATCAATTCCGACGAAATTATAATTAGAAACACAAAATTCTTGCGCGCTTCGCGCGCATTTTGCAGAGTTTTTTAAGGGTTAGCCTTCTTAATTATTTAAATACATAATAGTCCCAAACTCAAGAAAGAAAATTTAAGATAGATCGTTTTTGTTATTAATAAAACGTGTGTGGTCATATATAGGCCTATCATAAGCCCTAAACTAAAAAATAAAATTAAAAAATTGTGCGCTTCGGGCGCATTTTTAAGGGCGAGAACTTGTGCTTGTCCTCCTTTACCTTCTAAGTTAATTGAACACATAATAGACCCAACTCAAATAGAAAGAACATTTAAGATAGATCGTTTTTGTTATTAATAAAACGTGTGTGGTCATATATAGGCCTATCATAAGCCCTAAACTAAAAAATAAAATTTAAAAATTGTGCGCTTCGGGCGCATTTTTAAGGGCGAGAACTTGTGCTTGTCCTCCTTTACCTTCTAGACCCAACTCAAATAGAAAGAACATTTAAGATAGATCGTTTTACCATGTGTATTGATGATGAAAGAATATGTTTGTAATAAATAAAACCATTATGAAAGTGCTAAATATTTATTTTCAAACACACATGTGTGGCCTATATTATAAATACGATAAGCCCTATGTAGAGGGGGAGGGGGTGGGGGTAGGATTGATATGATAAATTACTAACCGGGAAAATTATTACCTTTTCCCCCTCCCCGACCCAAAACCCATGTTACGCGCCTGAGCATTCCCACAGATACCATCAATGCCAGGAGCCTTGTTGTTTTAATGGATCTGACAATAGACCTATTTCTTTGACCCCTACCCTGGCCAAAGTTGCTGAAGGCAAAATTTCAAATGTCATCCTTAAATGTATTGAACCTTTACTTGATAGAAGGCAGTTTGGAAACCAGAGAGGTATATCTACCACACATTGCTTGACTGAGGTATACCAATCGTTAGTCAGTGCCTCCGAAAGGTCCGCCAACGCCAGTGTTCTGACGTTGACGGACTTCTCGAAGGCATTGGACATGGTAGATCACACTGTTGTCGTGAAAAAATTGTTAGATATGGGTGCTCCATCATGCTTAGTCCAATGGATAATCGATTTCATTACTGCACGTCGACAGAGGATTAAGTATCGTGGTAAATATTCTGAGTGGATATCCTTAACTGGAGGTGTCCCTCAGGGAACCCGTCTTGCTGTCATTATTTTTCTGGTTTTAATAAATGACTCTTTACAGGATACTGAGCAATTGGGGATCGATGCCTGGAAGTACGTAGACGACCAAACCCTTAGTGAAACAACTAAAATTGGCCAACCATCCAACACCCAGGCGGCTCTAGATGCTCTACACCACTGGACATCGGTGAATCAACTTAAATTAAATCCGACTAAATGTCAGGTTATGCGAGTTTATTTTGGTCGTCAACCTCTTCCAGACATCGATCTCCATATCTCTGGTCAATCCTTGCCTGTACTTCAGACAGTTAAGCTCCTGGGGGTTCTGCTTGATGATGATTTGAAGTGGAACTCAAATACCCTAGCTTTATGTAAGAAAGCAAACAAAAAAATGTACTTATTGTGGTCCTTAAAACGTGCTGGCCTCTCCAGAGAAGAATTAGTATTCATATATAAATGTTACATTAGACCGGTGCTAGAATATGCTGCCCCCC